GAATATAGAGTCTAAGTGTTAGAAAATGTCGTCATTAGTAGGATTGGTCTCTAACCTCCAACAAAAGAAACAGAAATCTAATAGAATGAATATATAAAGAGTCCAAATTGTCTCTCACAAATACTACATCAAAATTGTCCAAAGCTAATATAATGAACAATTTCATCTCTTTATATATTGTTTCCTTTTCTTAACTTTCGACTATGTTTTATTTAATTTATCTGTTGATCTCTAGTGACTCCTATTAATGGTAGCATTTATTTCTTTTCTTTTACATCAGTGTCACACAACTTTAGATCATATATAATCATTCATTATCGCAATTCTTCTGATGCTGGTACCTAATATCTAATGTATTGGTCAAAGTTAACAAAATGTATAAAGGTTATAAACTTATATCTATTAGTATGATTTCTTATGCTCAATGAAAGCTTTTAATTGTCTTAAAGTATAGTACTAGTCTTCTGATACCCAATATATTGCTTAAAATAACAATATACCAACATCGTAATAACTAATTACATGAAATTTGTGATCTTAGATTGTTTGAGATGAGTGAGAGCGATATAACCTGATAAACTTGGAATAGTATATGTGATAATATACGCGAATAAGCTCCGAAAATGCAACACACAGTTTCTAATAGTTGTGAACTGATTGAGAATATATATGTTATTATATATTGTTTATAACGTTTTTATAAAAAAAATTCTAGTTTTCTAGTAAACTGAAAACTTGGAGGTCTCATATGTATAACGGTATTTTATTATATTATATAATAAATTTTCAACATAATTTATGTTCACGTTTTCTCTAACGCTAGTTGTTTAACTTCTTGAGAAAGCTCAAAATTGGAACACCTATATCATCAATTACTGTTTTTGACCATAAAACATCAAGATGGGAGTATTTTTCCAAGTAAATGAGATCAAACTTGTTCGTACTTTCTATTTCTATCATGTGTTTCACTAGCATTGCACCATCCACTAGTTTATCTTTCAAGGGTACCACCAGAAATATTGCAGGGGTATTAGAATCAAACCACTGTTTATTATGTTCAAGAATAGCCTTTGATGACTTGAACCCATTCTTATCATTCAACCACCACGACATAAGTTTAACACTGACATATACGGGTGAAAATAAGAAATGTCGATACTTTATATCATTATCCCATAATTCATCTGTCCAGTCGAACAAATAGTTAAACATGATATAACTCAAAAATCCAAATAATTTGGTTGATACAAGCAAATTTCTCATTTTCATCATTATAGGTAAAAATGATTTAATTCCAAAGAAATAGTTCTTTAGTGACATTTGTGCAATAATCTTTATGAAACTTTTCTCCTCTAATAAAGATCCACCATATACAGCTGGTGACAATGCAATAAAACTGTTAATTTTTTTTGAAATCCCAAACCTATCACTATCTAATGAAATGAACCCTTGAGTTGTACCTTGTGAATGGCAAATTAAAGATAAATTTGTAGCTGGAGAATCACAATTTGCAAGGACATGGTCTATCATGGCTGGTAGATCATACTGAGCCATATCCACGATATCCCAATCCCACATTTTAAAATCATTCGGATCTAAAAATGTATGTCTGGGTTCAAATCCACATCTATTGTTCCCTAGCCAAACATCATAACCATTTTCAAATAAATAATAACCCAAAGATTGTTTGCCTCCTGAACAGAATGAACCAGACGATTGTAAAAGTCCATGGAGCAATAAAATGGGTTTTCTTCTCTTCCTTTCATCAACAGATTCTTTAGGGTTTATAATTCTATTCATGTTCAATACAAACCCATCTTTTGTAAGAATCTCATAGCGCTTAATGTCAAGGTCCAAAAATTGATAATAATAATTGAGATCTGGAACCAGTTTAAGTTCTTGTGTTGAATGATATACATGCTCGGCATCTGAGCGATTTCTATTTGATAGCCACCATTTAAGTCGACTTGTAAGAGCTAGCACCATCAGTACTGATAAGAATGATATTGTGCAAATGGTTGATGTAAATGTGTACCATATTTGAGTCAAATTTGAGTAACTTTTCTTTTGACCGCCATCTTTGGGTACTAAATGTGCACTTTGGGCATTATTATGATCACTAGCGAGTGAGATGACATCTTCTTGTGTCATTATAAGATTATATGATTTTGTGTAACATTATTTGGAAGTTTTACCGTTGATATTTATTTATGAAATAAAATACGCCAGAAATTAAAATAAATCGATCGGTCCATGGATATCGTGTGCTTACCACAATTTACTATTCACACCGCGACGCCTATAATCTGGTTCAAATCGAATCATTACTGAATCCAAACTTTGGACATATATTCCAGCTCCATTTTCCAAAAAAAAAATCAATATGGCTAAACCATTTTCTGATTCTGTCAAGTACAAATCTCAGAAGACTGAAGATAATCATGAAATTTCCGTTCAGTCATTGAAATTCGCTGATAAAAGAGTTCTATTTGTCAAGTTTGATGGTGAAGTCGATATTACATACGATGTCCAAGCACCAGATTCAAAATCATTATACGATATATTATCAAGCTCAACCATATCCAATGACTTCACTTGTGATAAGACATGTCTCATGGGCGATGGGTCCAATATTAAAGTTGCTGTTATAATAAATCATATTGCTAAATTACTTTATTCGACAAGCGAAAGAACAGGATTAATAATTTCTATTAGTTCTAAATTATTCAAAAATCAACAAACCTCAAATTCTAAAGATTTCGATATATTAATACAAATACTATCATTGATCAAAGAAGTCATAAATTAACCATTTCATCTTATTTAAAGTCAACATGTTATTTTTCTGATTCGTCAATAACTGCCATGTCCAAAACTTCCAATTGACCAGATTTATAGTTGCCAACAATTTCAACAAGTTCCCTATAGTTCACAGGGTCAATGTATGAAACAACTTCCCAAAATTTACCGGAGTCTTCACTCTCAATATCACCTAAAAGTGGTTTAATTTTTTCATTCAATTTCTTTGCATCTTTAGACTCTAATAAAACCTTAATTTTCATTTTAGCTCTAACAATAGGTATTATTTGTTTAGCCACTAATAATTTAATAGCTTCCAATGCCTGTAGTTTTGCAGTTTTTGTAGTCACTGTGTTGAACTTCAATTCTGCTAAAGCTTTTTGAATCATGGTTGGTGGATATCTTTTTTTGGATTTTGGATTGATACATTTAGTTGAAATCAATTGCAAAGTTTCAGCTTGTATTTGATTACCTTTAGCTTGTCTTTCTTTTTCACTTAATTGAATTTCACCTTTTTGTAATATTTCTAAAATAATTTTATCTGTATCTGTAGAGCCAAAACTTTTTTGAAGGTCTTCATTTGGTGCGACTTGTCCTTTTGATACATTTAGAAACACTTGAGGTATCTGCAAAACTTCATCTATATCTTTTTCACTAGAATTAAATTTATGTTAGTGATCAGTTATGTTATTTAAAATTGATATATTTTAACCAAAAACTTACACATTTGATCTCCAATCTTGAACCTTGTTCTGATAACATGCGATTTCAAATCTTTTTTTACCTTTTTTCATACGGACAAGTGACACATTGGTCAACTTTATCTGATTAGATGGTTGATTAATAGGCATTGTTTCTCTGTAAACCTTGAAACAATAAAAACACAATAATAAATAATGTCAAGAGTTATGTTTATTAGTAAAAAAATTATAAGTCAAAAGTTTTAACAGATGGTATGTGCACTCAAATCTCCTTTTTTCTTTTTTGTACTTCTTTGCACTATCGAGAAATTAATTTAAGAAAAAAAAGTCTATAATATTTATCACGTTTTTGGATCTACGAACTTTTCTATAAAATATAAAATCAATCAATATTTTTTCTAATTTTTTTTGCTTTCATATTTCAGAGATTCACTATATTCAATTTACGTTGCTTTCATATTTTCAATTTCATACTTTCTTCATAAATCACTGTCAAGCCTGGGGTGTGTTTTTGTTGCAAAGACAAAGAAAAAAAAAAAACCGTTGAATAAATAGGAAAAAATACAATTTGTTGGATTTGAATAGACAAACAGTTAACTATTACCTTATAAACTATAACTATAAAACTTTGTGAAACCCTAACAATATGGCTGATGAATCAAACACATTGACCTATAGAGCTAAAAGTCCCCTTTATAGCGTCAAGGATGATCTACAGTTGTTAAGAAGTGCTCATTCTTCCTCATGTTCAATCAACAAAATTGCAGAAGACAATTCAATGGAAGATGATCTGTTATCTAGAATTGACAGTTTTATATCCTCTATAGAAGCCAAATTGGATAAAGTTGAGAATTTTTTTACTACAGGTGGTAAATTTGGTGCTGAAAAAAAAAGAGTTGGAAATGATGATGCTTTAGCTACATTACAAAATCTTTATGACACATTAATAACTATCAAGAGCTCAGTGTTCACAAAATCCGTTAATTTAGAAAATTTCAATAGAATTTTAGATGAACATTATGGTCATCTTTTATCCTCAATAAATTCAACAGAAAGTCTTGGATTTCATGAAAAATTACTTACAGGATTACATTTCCTTGATGCCAAAATAAATCAATTTAATAATTTGATTGAGGGTGAAAGAAAGCCGTTACTTGAAGAAAGTACATCCCCAGAAGACCAGCTATCTTCATCAATCAGAAGCTTCAATATCAAATTTTACAATTATGAACGTGCTATTTCTCAAGGTATTTCAAGATTACTTCATTATTATGAATTACCATTTCCTTGGAGGGAAAATAAATATATTATTAATGGTTATAGATTTCAAAATAATCATTTACATGCTTTAAAGAGTATATGTGAATGTCATAATGAAACCACAAACATATGGACTCATTTAATTGGTGCTATGGTTATGCTTTATGTTTGTTTTGTTGATTATCCTTCAAGTGAAGTTTATAAACAAGGCACTTTTGCAGATAATGCAATTATGTATTTGTTTTTGATTGCTGGTGTCAAGTGTTTATTATCTTCATCATTTTGGCATACATTCAATGGTACAACAAACCTGTATCTGCGTAAAAAATTTGCGTGTATTGATTACACTGGTATAACTGTTTTAATTACAACTTCAATCATTACCACTGAACACGCTGCCCTTCATTATTTCCCCAAATTAAAAATCGGATATATTACATTTTCTTTAATTTGTGGTATTATTGGTTTTTTCTTTAATTGGTCAGCACATTTTGATCGTCCAGAAAGTCGTTGGTTAAGGATTGGATTTTTCATTGCACTTGCAGGATTAGGGGTTTCAGCATTTTTTTCATTAGCATTCATTGTGGGATTAAAACGTGCATTGACATTTTATTTCCCATTAATAAGAAGTTTTATTTGGTACTTAAGTGGTGTTGTGTTTTATGGTAGTTTAATTCCAGAAAGATTTAGAAGTGATGTTATTGTTGCTGAGGATCAACCTGAAGAATCAGAAATAGGTTCAGAAGAATTAATGAAAAATATTGATTCATATTTTAAAAAATCACCCCCATTAACATCAAATCAATCATTTTTATCCTTATGGTGGATTGATTATTTTATGTCATCCCATAACATCTGGCATGTATTTGTGGTTTTTGGTTGTTTAGGTCATTACTCTGGAGTTTACGAGATGTTCAAAAACAAAGATCTAAATGCCATATAACTTTAAAGATTTACAATTTCATTTCAAGTCATATATATAGAGAGAGCTAAAATAAAGCCCATTAAAATTCTTATGTTTTTTAAAAAAATATATAAATAATTATTTTACTTTATCTTGTATATCGATTACCCAATTTGATCAATTCATATTTGGTTCTCTATTTATAGGATTTGACATCCTTATAGGAGTAATTGCGGCATTACTTGAATAATTTTGGCCAAAACTTGATGATGATTGGGTATTATTTGTTCTATTATCACCAATATCATTTCCAGATTCATTTAATAATGGACTATTTTCATCTGGACTTGATCTTTCTTCATTATGGAATATAAAGGAATCTTTTCTTCTTGCCACAAATAGCATTAAACAAACAAATGTGAAAACCATAACAACAACACCTACCAAAACACCAATAGCTAAGGCAACACCTGGTATAGTTAAATGATAATGGTCATGATCATCTAACCATTTTAATGCAATGGGTCTATCTATAGCAAAGACACAATTATGATTCTCTGAATTTGTACATCCCTTATTCAAGACTCTTACACCGTTATCACTTTCTTCATTAATTTGTAAAAAAAAATCACCTTTACTACCTGAAATTCTTGAGCATGTTAAATTGACTCCTAATAGAGTTTCAATATCTCCAGAACATGAATATAAATTTTCTAAAGATGATGGTTTGATTATATGTAATTTTAAGAAATTTCCTAAAGTAGTATTTGATTCAAATGGTAAATTTTTCTCTAATGATTTTAAAGAAGGTAATAAAATGGAATAATTTTGAGATTTAAGAACATCATTGAAATCTATTTCTGGTATCGTATCAATAAGATGAACAAATAACCCAACATCAGATGATTCTATTATATCTTTTAAAGTAATATCTAATCCACTTGGGAAAATGATTTTTTCAATTGGATGAATAACACCTTGATTATAAAGAACATCATCATTTTTTTTCAAATTAATTGGAAATTTGTTATATTTTAAATGTAAGTCCTTGGATTTATCATTATTATAATCATCATTTTCAAGATTTATTTTTTCACCGTTTAAATTTTTATATTCAATAGATTCAAAATTTCCAATATCTGTGTAAAATAATCCATTTAATATGAAATTTTTCATCAAAATTTCTAATGCAGTAGAATTTTTTTCAAAATAACTAGAAGTTAATTCAAAATTATCCCATGAATCATAACAAGGTAAAAAATAAGTATAACCTAAATTATTATTTGAAAGTTTTAATAAACCAAGATTTTCCATATGTTTTAAAGATTTTGAACAATGATGCATGGGATTTAAAGAAGTTCTTAAATCATTTGGAGTTCTTAAATCTTCATCAGTTATATAAATTATAGTTTCACCAATTTTATATGGACCATCTATAATAATAAAATTATCATTTAATGTAAAATTTCCTGGTTTTTTCTCTTGAATTTTAATTTTTTGACATGAAGAACCTAATTTTTTAGAAGAACAAAATTTAGAATTAAATAAATTTTTAGAATTTAAATTTTCAGATAAATTTTCAATTTTTTCATCAATAAAATGATATAAATTAGAATTTTTAGATGTAATATAAAATTGATTATAATCTTGACTTGGTATGAAAATTGTTTGTTTTATGGAATTATTTGTAATTAAATAATCTAATTTTTGTAAAATTAATTCATCCACTAAACCTGAAGAATTAAGACCAACAATTATTTTCAAAGGATTAAATTCAATATTGGGTATTAAATTAGTATTATCAAATAAATGTAAAATAGAATCTTCAGTCAATATATTTGATTTAAATGATGAAATTGTGTTATTAATTATTATATGATTTCCTGAATCATTTGAAGAAAATAATATTTGAAAATTATTTCCATCTTTTAATGAATTATTTAAATCACCACCATAAATGCCTTCAATTGATAATGAATTAAATAGAAAATTTGAATCTTTTTCACCAAATTCAGATTTTAAATAATTTATATGATAATCTTTAAAATTAAAAGAATCATCTGTGGGTATCAATAAAGTTTTATTGAAAAAATCATTTTTTTGTTGTGAATTAATTAATTCTTGCGATATCAAAGTATTATTTAATTTTGATAATAATTTTGTAGTTGGAATTGAATTATAAAATAAATTTTCAATACCTTGAACAACAGAATCTTGAGATTCTGCTAAAAAATCAGGTTCAACAACATTAATTCCATTAATTTCAAATTGATCATCTGATTTATTAGATTTGACCAATATTGGTGATACATTATTATAATATGTATTGAAAATATTTGATCCAATAAAGTCACCAGATATTACAGGTTCTGTAATGATATATTTTTTCAATTCATTCAATGAAAAATGTTCAATTTCAGCATTTTTATCATTATTCCCAAATTTGACATTACTTTTATTATTATGATGATCTAAAGCAAAAGCAGAATTAACAGGAGCAACAAGAGTAATATTTGTAAGTTCATTCAAGAATGGTATTAGTTGATTTCTTTGTAAAAGTCTTAAGAAAGTGGAAAACTGTACATTTTCAGATAGAATATCAATCACTGTTTTCGTAACACCTTCACTATTATCATCATTTGAGTTTGTATGAGTTTCAGCAGCTGTGATCCAAGATGATACCAACAGCACAAGAATTATAGTGAAAACCTTCCTTATAATGATCATTTATGAAACCAAATTTCCATCACTTTGTATGTTTTTTGTACTTATATGAACTTGAAGATGTACACAAAATTGATAATTAGCAAGAGGGAATGTATGAAATAAGCAGCCAATATATTAAAATTCAAACCTTCTTTAATAAAGTAGTCACCAACTTGAATGTATTATCAAAAGGAATCTAGGACTGTGGTTAATTTGAATATAATTAAATTTTGATTGAAGCAATAAAAATCCAATTAACCGCTGAACATTTGATCTTTTGATTGATTGTTTATTAGTAGTGATAGTACAATTCGCGATGGCACAAGACTATTTTAAAAAAACGCGTTGTGATATTTGTGCTGGATCAAGATTTTTATTTTTTTCAACATGGCGCTAATTTTAATTTAAAGGGATACTTTTTAAATAGAAATACAATTGTCAAGAAACATCAATTGAACTCTCAATTCTATTAGTTAAACACTCAATTGAGCAAAGCATAATATCAACAAAATGTCCATTGAAGAAACAAACAGAACCGCCAGCTCACTCACTGAAGAGAAAATCGCCACACAACCAACAACCGCCGGTTCTGAATTGGATAATGAAGCTTCTAAAAATGGGGAAGTTGATGATGATGCTGCTAAACTACGAGAATTACATGCTGATTTAGCTAAACAAGAAAGTGAAACTCAAGAGGAAAAATCAGATATTGATGCTCGTTCAATTTATGTTGGTAATGTTGATTATGATTCAAGTCCCGAAGAATTACAAAAACATTTCCAATCTGTTGGTGTTATAAATAGAGTTACCATCTTGTTGAATAAATTCACTGGTCAACCAAAAGGTTTTGCCTATATCGAATTTGCTGAACCATCTTCAGTTGTCAATTCATTAGTTTTAAACGATTCTGTTTTCAGAGGTAGAAATTTAAAAGTTAATCCAAAGAGAACAAACATTCCAGGTTTCAGTCGTGGTAGAGGTAGAGGTAGAGGTAGAGGTGGATTCAGAGGTAGAGGTGCTTTCAGAGGTAGAGGTAGATTCCAACCATATTGAGCAGCTTCAAGGGTTTGTGTGTTTTTGAATGTTTTGGTGATATGCTTTAAATTTCTCTACTTGTATTATTGTTTTTTAGATGGTGTTAATTGGAGAAATTTATATTATAATTTAAAGATTTAAACTAAAAAAAAAAAGATACTTGACTCTTTATCTTTACGACCTTCATTTCACTTATAGATCAAAAAAAAAAGAATATGAAAGATTAAAACTAGTTTTCCCCCATTGCTTTTTTATTTGTTTTTTCAATTTGCTTTAAAAAAAGATGCTATAGTATTTATGTGTTTTTTTTTTTCCTTATATCTCTTCAAAACTTATTGAATATCATGATTTTAATGCTGTGTCTGAAATAACGACTTGGCTATATTTGTGTGCTTTTTTTTAATAATTGTCTTATCATTGGAATTGTAGTGATTATATGCTAAACGAGATAAGAATTGGACTATAAACATCTGGTAATTGATAATCTACGAATATATAAATGAGATATAAATTACCATTCAATTCCTTTTAAATGTTTCTTAAATATTTCTTAAATGTTCTTTTCAATTTCCCTTCAATGCCGTAACCATTAATGCCGTAATCATAAGCGTGATTGTGTTTGTTTACATCTCGCGATAACACTTTATCAAAGAAAATCAAGAAATTACTTCTCATAAAAAATTTACAACGAAATATTTCATCTTTTCAAATTCATATTGATATTCTTGTTATTTTGTTCCCTAATCACCAACATCATCTTCTAATAAACCTGGCTAGTGCTTTATCCCCTTTGGTCTTCTCTTTCTTTCACAAATACTGTCCCTTTTTCTTTTGTTATTGTTTATTTTGATTTTTGACCCTGTTCAGACGTTGTTTACATTCCATACACGGGCCATAAATATAGAATTTATCAAAACAAATTATTACAAAACCAATAAAAAAAATTCATTTCTAAATATTGATTAAGACATGTCTGTTAGAAATCAAGAAAGTTATATTTCTATTCCTGTCATTAGAGATAGAAGAGCTTCAAATTTAAGAAAAGATTCATTTTTAAATGGTTCTATTGGATCTTTTAAAGGTGTTAATTCATTAGGTCGTTTTGCTTCTTCTTTTAATAGAGCTCAATCTTTTAGAAACATTGAACCAATCCATGGTAACCCAAGATCTTATTTTAAAGATGATGATGAACTTTATGATCCTCAAACTTTATCACCTTCAAGATATGGTGATAGATTATCATCTGTTATACCAAAAACTGATATTGAATTCTTAAGAAATAGAAATAGTAATGAAAATATTAATCAAATTGATGAACCTGGTGATTATGATGCTATTGATGATAGTTCATTCTTGGCTCAATCTATAAGAGATTCTCATTCAATTTATTCTTATGGTGCAACTACAACTGCTAATGATTTAGGTAATGGTGGATTTGCTGAATTTTCTGAAACTGAACCATTAGTTTTAAAAAAAATTGAAACAAATTCAGGTAAAACAGTTACTGTTATTGCTGGTCAATCAACAGCTCCACAAACAATTTTCAATAGTGTTAATGTTTTAATTGGAATTGGATTATTAGCTTTACCTTTAGGTTTAAAATATGCTGGTTGGGTTATTGGTGTTCCAGCTTTATCAATGTGTGCTTTATTAACTTTTTATTCTGCTGATTTATTATCAAAATGTATGGATACTGATCCAACTTTAATGACTTATTCAGATTTAGCATATGTAACATTTGGTCCAAATGGTAGATCATTTATTTCATTTTTATTTTCTTTAGATTTAATTGCAAGTGGTGTTTCATTAATTGTTTTATTTGCTGATTCTTTAAATGCTTTATATCCAAGTATTCCAATAAATCATTTTAAAATTATTGCATTTTTAGTTTTAACTCCACCTTCATTTTTACCTTTAAATGTTTTAAGTTTAATTAGTTTATTTGGTATAACAAGTACAATTGGTGTTGTTGTTATGATTTTCATTGCTGGTTTTACTAAAACTGAAAGTCCAGGTTCATTAATTCAATTTGCTCCAACAAATTTATTTCCAGATTCTTTAGCAAGTGCATTAATTTCAATTGGTATTCTTATGGCACCTTTTGGTGGTCATGCAATTTTCCCAAATTTAAAAGTTGATATGAGACATCCTTATAAATTTAAAGATTGTTTGAAAACTACTTATGGTGTTACATATTTAACTGATATGTCAATGGCTGTTATTGGATTTTTAATGTTTGGTGGTAATGTTAAAGAAGAAATTACTAAATCTATTTTATTAACTGAAGGTTATTTTAAATGGACTTATATTTTAATTTGTACATTAATGGCTATTGTTCCTTTTTCAAAATTACCATTAAATGCTAGACCAATCATTTCAATTTTTGATCATATGTTTAATGTACATGATATTTCTATATCATCATCAACTGGAAATTCTAATGCTTCATATTTTATCAAATCATCATTTAAAGTTTTTATCAGACTTTTCGTTAATGCACTTTTTGTCATTATTGCTATTCTTTTCCCAGAATTTGATAAAATCATTGCATTTATGGGTGCAGGTTTATGCTTTGCACTTTGTTTAATTTTCCCATGTTTATTTTATCTTTCAATTTGTAAAGATTCTATTTCATCAAGGGAAAAAATTGGTTGTTATACCATTATTATTGCTAGTTCTATTTTATCAGCTGTTGGTATAACAGCTGCAATAATTTATTAGATACCCCCTTCCCCCATGATCCATATACAAATAGATATGGAATTTGTATATTCATGTGTATATAATCCATTCCTTCAACTAATTTTTAATAACCATTATTTTTATAATAAATTTATATTAATATTAATCTTGATTATCCCATAATTTGTACACAATACTATAATTATACGAGTCAATTATATATAATATGAATCAAAATTAGTATATTAATAATTTAATTTATAACATATATATAGATCTAGTTGATATATTATATTAATATATATTTATATTAATATAATATTGTATATTATAAATTAATTTTTAATAATTAATAATTTTAATAATCAATTATATTATATATTAGAATATATTAATCTTATTATAAAAAAATATTTAATTTTTAATTTATTAAATATATTATCGAATTATATTATGTCTTATAAAAAAAATTAAAATATTTTTATAAATTTATATTATTAAAATGATCACTCGATTATATATATTATAATAATTATATATTAATAATTGATAA